TGTGTTACATGTGGAACAACACTAATTTCAGATTAAAATTCAATAAAAATATGAATGTAACAAGAGGCTAATTTGATTCTGACAAATAGTTTGAGAACAGTCCACTAAGAGGGGAACACAGATGATGCTTTGCATCATCTTTGCAGAAATCACTCCAGAAATAAGAGGAAATATTTGAGGAAACAATACGTTAGAGTTTCAGGCAGTTCATGGAAGATTCAAACAGGACAGATAATGAAACAAATATTTTACTGGGACATACAGAAAGAAAGAGAAAGAGAGAGAGAGAGAGAGAGAGAGAGAGGACATCCCAAAACAGTAAAGGGGAGGGGGAAAGGAAGGGAAAAAGGGATTCGTAAAGTTTAGAAACAGTCAAAGCAAGGGTACAGTCTTTCGGGGAGGAGGGGGAGGGGGAAAGCTAACTGCATAGTGACAACAAATGCCAAAGAAAAGCCAGCAGAATAGCAGGAAGAAGGAACATTTTGACAAAGTGCTGATCCCTGCTGACCATGCTGATCCAAGCAGTCCAGACTCTATGGAAAGATGAGGCAGTTTTCAAACCAGAAGGAATGTGAGCACTACCCTGCCAGCAGAAAAAGGTGACAGAAGGAGCAGTGATTTAGTTCAGAAGAGGAGAGCTGATGGTGCAGAGAGCATAACTGCTGAGCTGTAAATAGCTAGAAGGACAAGTGTGAGCGAAGTGTCAGAAGTACAATATTTTAAGCTTTTGTGCAGAGGTGACTGGCAAAACAGAGCAGCTGTATCAACCTGTAAGGCCACCTACCTAATACAGGCAAGGACGACAGATATAAATCTTTGTCAGTTTCTGGAGACAGGAAAAAAAAAAAAAAAAAGGGATGAAGAATGAGACTTCTAACAGATTCAGACCAGTTAGAAGGAAAGTTGAAAAGTACAGTTTCAAATCTGGCACTGTTTAGATGCATTCACATTGAGTTGACCAAGGACTAAAATGAGAATAGGGCTTAAAGTATTCATTACTTTCACTGACTTCATGGCATTCAAGGCATTACTTGTAATGTAATTTAGCGTTTAGAAAGCCGTGTGGAAAGTAGCAAAATCATATTCTAGATAATACAAATTCTATTTTTAAATTTCATACACTAAACCTTCTCCTGTGAAAGTGGTAGCTGGTACACATTGTTTGACATCCCTCTATGCAGAATTAGTAAGGATATTGTAAGAGATCTCAGAGGAGAAATCAGATAATTCACAAATAATCATTTAGTGCACAAACAGCACTGTAGAGCTATTGGACACACGGTTTTCAACTTGGACTTGGGTTTGCAGGAACTGCCAGGAAGAGAAAATCAACAGCCGCTTAGGCTTAGGGTAAATACATGAAATGCAGTGAGTTGCAGTTGTGGTGAAATCTCAAGTATACCACAGAAGTCTGGAAAACACTGATGATTCAAGAATGAGGCTTAATGAAGAACAACATGATAGCTCATGGAGATGACAATCCAAAAATATCAGGAATGTGAATACAATACAATTAATAGAAAAAGCAAAACTCATTGCAATAAACTGCTTCTGCATTGATGGCACAACCTATCCTTCTTCTCAGGAAAAGACTTCTGTTTTAAGGGACTCAAAGTCTGGAAATTGACCAGACCACTAATACTTTGTACAACTTCTCTTTACTTTTGTGTCAATTTCGGCAAGGATTTAACTCTGTCGCCCATAATGCCTCACGTAACCAACTGTGGTCTGGTGATCTATGTGAGCAAAAAAACCTGTTCAGCATCTGTGTTCATAGGGTGGTGATCAATGAGTTAATCAGTGGACTGCAGGAGGTGAAAGAGGCGCTCTAATTACACTTGCAGATGACAAGATGACACCACTGGAAGATGACCCAAAGGAAGAAGTAGAGCCAGGCCCCTAGCAATAGTGCATGGGAGGAGGATAAGGGACAGCAGGAACAAGTTGAAAAAGTTCAGACTAGCTATGAGGAGAACTGTTTTCCACATGAGGAAGTTCATCAGTGAAGCAGGCTGCCCAGAGACTTTTTACAGTCCTTCTTCTTGGAGGTCTTCTAGACCAAATTGTATAAATTCCTAAGCAACCTGGTTAGAACTACATCTGGCCCTGCTTTGAGTAGGATGTTGGTCTAGAAATCTCCAGAGGTCTCTCCACATCTGAATTATCCTATGATCCTATGGTTCTATAATGTTGTATATGAATAAGGGAGTATATTCTCAAAATAAAATAAAAAATAAATTTAAAAAAAATTCTTAGAAAATTAAGACTGGATCTAATTTCAAGTCTAAATACTCTATCTTAACAGTTCAATACTGTTAATACAGTAAAAATCAGTTAATACAACACTTACAGTTTAGTAGAATAGGAAATAAAATAGATGTGATTTTCCCAGCATTCTTACATCCATTTGCAATGTATTTCAGAGGACCTAACTTGCTGAGGAGAAAAGTGTACTTCCGTAGTGTTTAATCTTTGCATTTTGAAGTCCTTTAGCTTTCTGCTAAAATGCATCCATTAAGTACAGCTTAAAAGGCAAAAATTCTATTAGAGTTTAACAGATACAACATATATAAAGAAGCAAGTACTTCCTATTGTCACTGTTTTTCCTCTTCCTCCCATACAAATTAACACGAAGTAATATTAGAAAAAGTACCTTCAAGTAGAATTGAGTGAATTATGAACGTGGGCATTCATGACTGATTTCTTTCAATCACCAATTCATGTTATTTTTCAAATTCTGAGGCTAAGAATATAGAAAAAATTAGACCTTTCACTAATTTCCATAGTAAATTTTCAATGCTCATGAATCAACAGTGCAAAATGACATAAAGACACTTGGCTACTGGACAACTTGATGAACAGTTAGAACAGAGGGTGAATATTACAGTGCAACTTAATTTTGTAGCTCTTTCAGTGTTCCACAGCATGATTGCTCTAGTGTCACGCCTTCTGAAGAAATATATTTTAAAAAATCATGGTTTTCCCCATAACTTCTACCTGCCAGCATTTGAATACAATTCAGCTTAAAAAGCCTCTCTTAAGTTCCAGAAGAGCAATCTGCCTTACGTGTTTCCACTGGATGTAATCAGCAGCTTTATCTCCATACAGAAACTTGGTCTGGAAGGAGAATCCTACTCAATCACAAACACAGATCTCCTGCCAGAATGAGAGCTCCAAGCACCAGAAGGAAGAGGTCAAATTGTGCACAGGAGTCTCCCAGCACTCTGACTTAAAAATTTGCTAGGGACATTTCTGCACTGCTGCAACAGTCAAGACAGTGAAGAAAATGTAATTCAGTTTCATACTATCCTCACCAGTTTCCATGGTGATGCACAGACTGTAGTAACTCCTCCTTCCTGGCAATAACTTAAAGTAGCCCAGAAGCCCCTGGGAAACAGAGGCAGATCTGTGAGCTTTATGGTGAAGAGCAGAAGGATCCCAGAACTGCCCACCTGTTCTGCAGAAATGAATTCATGTCAAAAATGCTTTGATAACAAACACAACCACACCATCCAATAATGCCAAGGGAAGATAATAACAGTCTATTCCTGAGTAGCTGTTATCACTCATGAGTATTGTGGTACCTCAATTGGTAGAATATCACAATGGTTACTTAACACATACAGTTGAGTGTATATTTATTCCAGAAATAATTCTCTATAAAGAAAGTGGAAGTCCAGCCAGCAGCAGATTCAAAAATTAAACCTGAATATTACCCTCAGTCTGTCTTTCATCTGCTCAGCCATCCGTGTAAGTCAACAAGAATGAAACCAGCTTTGGGAATATTTATTGCTTAGAAAAGCAGCAGAGGCAGAACACAACAAGGTCTTATGCCCTTCTTTTTCAAGCCATGATTATGCCAGACACTGCCGCTGTAGGACAATATAATGGGCTATAATAGGTTATATTATTTTCTAAAATATGGATGCTATTCCCCATGAATGTTTGGAAATCAGAAGTTTGAATAGCTACCGAGACTTGTGCCTCAGTGGAATTCTACAAGATACACCTGTCAGGATGTTAGCACTGTGGAGCATTTGGCTTAAGTAATTTAAGGCAGAGTTGCAAAGAAGTTTTTTTTTAACCTAATTTGAAAGTTTAAGACCTCATGCTAAGGATTGTTGACCATTTTAGAGTCTTACTAATAGCTTAGCTATTAGACATGTCTTGTAACTTAGTTATTATGCAATCAAATACATACTGTTTGAAGAAAAGGAGTCACTTGAAGCTCTTTGAGACTGCACTATCATTTCCATGTTGTAATGAACATAATTTGCATCCTTTAAGTGATATTTCTACTTGTCCTTGCCCAACAAGAAACATCAACATCACTAAATCTTTCTAAGCATTGGAGAGGAGCTGGAGAAGCAAACAAATGTTTCTTATCCCCTAAGTTAATATTATCAGAGCCATCCATTAAAGGAAAGCTTTTTAACAGAGGACCGGTGACTGACAGTTCAGTTGCAATAAGATATATATATTGATACTTGCACCCACTCAAAAAAATAAAAATAGCAAATTTGGCATTCAAGCTTATATTGTTGACAGCATAATAATGCAATCAAAACTATTCTACAGAGAAGTAATTCCCTGAAGTCTTTGTATCATTGCAAACTAACACATGCTCGATAAGGTTGTTTATGAAGGACAAACTACTCATAAATATGATTTGAAGATGCCCTCCAATAATTTCCTAATTTCATCAATGTCACCCTCCTAAAATATAAAATAGAATTAAACAAAAAAATAGTTATTTGAAAATCAACTACTTGGCAATAAAACCCTGTAACAGCCATTGCACTGAATATTCTTTCAATAAATTTCAGCTTGAGAATGATTTCATCACCAGTGAACAGAATAAAGAGCAGAAGACAACACTGAAACACAGCAAATGTTAACATATTTTTTAAAAAAGATTTTGCTTCGGTTTTCCAACTATTTCAGAACAGCCACTTGAGTGACTGGAAATGGTCACAAAATCATAGAATCAGAATTCCCCAGAAATTATGACATCAGGAAGAGCATGCCTCTTTCCTACCTGCAGGCACATGGCTGCCGGTAATCAGAGTTTAGACAAATGGTAAATTACTTCTCCAGTAACTAAGTTTCATCAGCCCAAGTCTGGTGGAGAGATGCTTGGGAAAAATCAGAAGCCACTGGTATTACAAATGGTTTTACTATTTCTACAAAGGATTGTTTCCATTAATAAAGTTTAGGGCAATTGGATAGGTGCTATCTGAGATAGAAACACACATGCTATGCCATTGCACATACTTTTCTCACTGAGGATGTTGCTGCAACCTGTACAGGCACACTATCATGCATACTATCCTCAGAACAAAACTACCTCTAAGCAGGAAGGACAGATGTACCTGGCAAAACTAAACCAGGGAAGTTTATAGTGGCCTCCTGGTACTTGAAGGGGGCCTCCAGGAAAGCTGAGGAGGAACTTTTTATAATGGCAGGTAGTAACAGGACAAGAGGAAATGGCTTTAAACTGGAAGAGAGTAGATTTAGACTAGATCTTAGGAAGAAATTCTTTACCATGAGGGTGGTGAGACACTGGAGCAGATTGCCCATGAGGCTGTGTATGCCTCCTCCCTGGAAGCATTCAAGGTCGGTCTGGGCTTTGAGCAACCCCAGTCTAGAGGGAGCCATTCCTGCAGGGAGGCTGGAACTAGATGATTTTAAGGGTCCCTTCCAACCCAAACCATTCTATGTATTACCTAGTGTAGGGTCTTAACAAATCAGTGCATGGCAAACTGTGGAACACTACCAGTTTTAAAGGACGAGAATTCTAGTCTATCCTCAGTTTTAACAGCCCCTTGCTGTCCACTTTCATGCAGCACTTGAGACACATTGGCTGTTACTACAGAGGTTGCATCAGTGCTGTTAAAAATCATCTGCAACACAAGCAGAGGGCTAATACCAGCCTACTGCTGAAGGACAGCATTTATGTTGAAGCTGTGATTGAACATTCAGTGTACTTGTGGCCTGCCTGCTCACTGTTACAGTAATGCCGTACGCTAAGCTGACACAGGCACTAAGTGAAGGTGATGTTGCTCACTGCTCAATGCTTGGCAGTACCACTTCACCACACTGGAAAAACAAGCTACCACCCACATTGTAACTCTTATCTCGAATCTCCCCATAATGGACTCATTGCTCCATGCACTGCTTCTCCATGTAAAACAACCTGTTTAGCACTTCTGGGCTTCTGAGAGCCTGTAAACCACAGATCCAATTTTTTTTTTTTTTTTTTTTTTTTTTTTTTTTTTTTTTTTTTTTTTTGCCTTGTACTGCACTTCTCCCCTTTCAATTTATGTTCCTCTAAGTGCTGCTAAAGCTACATGTGTAGAGATTAAAGGTAGGTATACTGTGGCTTATAGACATCAAAAGCCAATGAAAAGTACAAGACTGGAGTAAATTGCACAGTCCTGGCTTTTGTTAGCCTCAAAAAGCCACTCATTATCATTTTTGTTGTTAAGTGCTCTCTACTGCTTCTCTAGTGATTGTAGATGCCCATCAGAGGAGATAAATAGTGCCTGTGGGGAGAGTACAGGTGATTTAATTGACATGAGAGAGGAGGAATTGAGGTGGGTGGGTGTAGTGACCTGTGAAAGTGGTTATTCATGACACATCACAAGTTGCATTTCCTGTTTAATTTATTGTTTTCAGATACGTTTTAGTGTGCAGGTCTAAAACTAGACTGCAAACAGAATAAACTTCCAGTGGTATTTTAAAAACACTATTGCCATGTCCTCAGTCTCAGTGCAGTTACACTGGTGTAGAGGGGCTTCATAGCTGCATACCCTTCTCCCTGTGGAGAGGTAAGTACCTGTTCCAACATCAGCTAACTTCACAATCTGTATTTTCATAAAATTACACCACTTGAATACATAACAAGGAGCTTATTGTTGTCTAACGCCTAATCTATTCCAGAAGCCCTTCTTCCAGCACTAGCTGTTAGGGCATCTGGGTGGAAAAGTGTGAACGCAGAACACACATTACTCCCCTGAGTGCTGTCTCAGGGGAGGCATTTTTTGAACCTGACATGCTAATTATATATTTAGACATGCAGGTTAGATGACATAATTTTACATAATAACTCAAACTTAGACCAGGTATAAGTCTTTTCCATTCTGTACAATTTGCTGCATTTTGCAGGACCCATCTGCAGTTCTCATTTAAGGTTTCTCTGCTGGTAGTTAAGGTGGCTCATGGGTTCTTTCCATTCCACTCATACCTAGCTCATCACTCTCCCAATATTTCATTCCTTTCTGTCCATTTCCTGCAATTTTCAGAAGAATTGCTCTGTTATTTGTTCTGTCATGGGGATCTCATTTTGCTCACTCATCTTAAACTTCTTCCTTTTTGTCTTTTTTGTGTGACTTGCAGCACAAAACTCTTGCAATTCCCTATATGAAAACAGTAGAATATTTATTCTGTATGAAAAATTAGGAGCTTTCCTTTCACTCGTAGGAAAATCATCAGCATTACGTATTTTTGTATATTTCAAATGAGCTTCTATCCATAAAACATTCATGAATTTATTGTAGAAATGTCCCTAAGATAGAAAACATTTTGCTTTCACAGGTAAAATAGAAATAAATTTATGCCTATTATTATATATCTTTGAATGGTTTTAGAAGTTGGTCTGGTGGTTGTGCTTTGTTTTTATTTGTTTGGTTCTCATTTTCCCTTTACTTCTTTCAAAGTAATGGCAAAATGAATTGTATTTAATTGAAAGAGAAGACCAAATGGATTAGTCCAAAAGATGTTTGATTAAAACTTCCAACTTAACATAAACTTTTTTCCAAAATTTTATGCATGTAGAGGAATTAAGTTAATTCTAACTAGGTACTGTACTTCATTATAGCATAACTAGATACTGCAGACAAAGCTATATGGCAAAATATGGAGAACATAGTAACTAGTGAGTAACAAACATAGCATGAAAATAGGATGATAATGATATGAACTTAAAAAAAAATAAAATAAAATAAAAAATGACCTCTGTGTGTGAATTGTTATTAGTCCACGTAAATTATTCTCTCCACCCCACAACTCCAATAATTCATGCTGATTGTACACAGATAAAGGCACTTCCTCAACAAATGATCCCCACTATAGGCTAACTTGCACAGACCCTCTTCAGGAAGCACATAGGTTACATCTCCTTTCCCAAGTTTTTAATAATCTTTTTTGTGTGTGTGTTTTAAATTTGAAAGAATTTCAAGTCTTTTAATGCAAATGTTGCAGGTCACCAAAATGGAGTTACTGAAGTGTACAACTGAGTGTGTGTGGTTCATGCCCTGGGGACTTCTGATCAGAGAAGAGCTCTGTTGGAAGATGTGACAGAATCACAGAATGGCTAAGGAAAAGGTTAATGGTTAGGTAAACTGTTTGACAGTGTAGGTATGGCTAGTGAGCTCTGTATGCTACAAGTGAGTATCGGCCTCAGGGGTTTCCAGAGAGGGCTTTTCCACACAAAAACTTGGTGTCATGGGAATAAATTAGAAGCTAGAAATAGCGAGTCACATATACAGATTTGGACAAAAGGAAGAAGGAAGGTAAGAAATGTGAACGTAAAGGGAAATGCTTTATTACCACATGGGCCAAGTAGGAGAGTCTAATAGGAACAAGGAGAATTCTGCAAAAATGTACAGAAATCTAAGGTGATCTCTTTGAAATTAGTTTGTATGTAACAGAAAACTGCATCAGAAATGACAATAACAGGTTATGAATTCATGGGTTTATGTTGCTACAGAATTTTTAAAAAATTGTAGTCTAGGTGCACAGTTGAGTTATACTGCACTTCCTCATTCAGCTTTTCCTTCCTTTTGCTCTTTCTCAAGGCACACTGGAGGAGGAATATAGGCTTATTTCTTTACAGTTTTAGTACTATATACCTGAACAAGCCGAATAACAGATTCCCATCAGGTTGCCAGTCCAGTAGGTGACAGCATTTTTTTTTTTCTTCAGACTATAACTGCAGTTTCTGCAACCGCATCCCATCAACTCAGCCGTGCTTTCTCAAACAGAGATGGTATCTCTGTTTATCACTATCAAGCAGATTTTCCTATTCATCTTTTTTAGAATACGGAAGAAGCCATGCAGTCTTCTGAAGAATACATCCTTCAATCTATCCTTTTCAGGTAAGGCTCAAGTTAGCCTGCTAATTAGATCCTCACTCCTGCATCTATTTCAAAAATAGAGATGTATTCGAATGTTGTATATTGTGGGTACTAACTGTTGATACATTTTCAGAAAATGAACACTTATTAACACAAGTTAATAACAAACAGCATACCACACACAGCTAAATTTGCTGGTCTGCTATTTAACAAACCTCCGTTTTGCTAATGAAAAGCTTAGACAAGCATTCTCATCACAGGATTTCATAGTGGTAAGCCAAGAAAGGAGAAAAACAATTTGCTGACTTGACAAAGAAGTCTAATATTTTGAGAATAATTGCTTGCCTCAGAATATTTTACAAAATGGTGAAATTAAAGGACCATATAATTTCTTTTACTGCTTTTCTATGTGCTTCATATGCCTCCATAAACGTAAGAGCTTTTAACGTTTTCTTTCTTTGGGGATCACCTTTTTTTAGAGCTTGCATTTTTGCTTGATTCAAACTAAAAGTTCAGTTATCTGAATTTAACAAGTACATTTTGGGACACAAGATCCTTCTAGGTGATAAAGTCAAGAGACTCCTTTATCACAGAGAACAGGCTTAGAAAATGATTGTTCAGCTATCTTCAGAGGTGTAGATTAACCTAATAGTTTTTAAGGAATTATCATTTGAAAATAATGCTCTGTGAGAAGTAGGCATCTCATACTTGGAATTTGACTATATTAACTTAGATTTAATAACAACAACATAGAAACGTGTATTCCTATAAGTTTTTAACTGAGAAATGAAAAGTTAGGAAGATTAATTTTTCTCATTACAGTGTTTGTTAGAGCATAGTCTTGGACTTAAACTGCACCAACTTTTTTGAAGGTATAGAGGATAATTTCTGGGTGGGTAGGCACAGGAGAAAAATACGTCTTTTTAAATCAGAAATTGCCAATCCTGCTTCTAGGAGTACCAAAGCTTTTTTTACCACTCTAAAGCATTTATTTTTAAAACTTCATTTTGTCCTTTGAGAAGGAATTATAATTAACCCTTATCTGTCATTTTTAAGTCTAATTAGTTAGCTTTGCATTTTTCTGAAATTATGAAGGCTTGAAGGTCATGTACTACCTCATTTCAAAAGTAAATGTCCCCACACTTTCTCTTACAGTTTGAAATTTACCACTTTTGCAGATATTACATTTGGTATTGCAAAATTCAACACTGTTGAGGAAAAATGCAAGTATTTCTGCAGTAGAATTGTTTAATTTTTCAAAATAATTTGGAAATAAAGATCCATCAATGTTCTAATTAGTACGTAGTCAGTGTTTTGGACATTGCCTTTGGGTCGTTACTGATTGTATAATCAATGAATGTACAGATGGGTGTAGGAGAGGTGGATCCAAGCTCCACCCCTTCTGGCAGCACAGGTGAATTGCCTTCACCTGTGCTCCCGTGGCTGACTCATTGCTCACCTCAGGTGATCAATCAAAGGTTCAGGCCATGATTCAGCAATTCTCATATACTGGTATAAATCAAGCAGGCATTTTAAACAGACACTATTTTTTAACTGTTGTTTCTTGTTTCTGCAAGGCTCTCTGATGGATTCTATTTGTAAGACTTTGCTGTGTATTTTGCTGCCAGGTTAACAAAACAATTGGGATTATTTCCAGGTAAATCCACGTGCACCTGCACCATACTTGCCTTCATTAGCAGTGAATTCAGAAGGAAGGAAGAGAGAAGAGAAAGATCTTGGCAAACCAAGTTGCAAAATGTTAAATCCAACTGCATGTCAACGTGGTGAAACCCTGGAATCCTTTCACAGGGACACTGGCATATCTTTCCCTACTGCCTTAATAAACAGATAAAGATCTCAACTGAATTGAGCATAGCTTCTGGTAACTATTCCAGAATTGTGCAATACAGTGATGATCCATGTCTGAGGGGAATCAGCTTTTTTTTTTTTTTGCTTTTAATAGCTGTCATTAGAGAGTTAGCACTGAAATTTATTAACATGATCTAAGCTTACAATTGAAAGTGTGAAGCAGGACACACACCATTTTTTCAAGCTGAAATGAGGAGTGGAAGAAAAGAAATATTGAAATCAGGGCAGCTGGTGACAAACACGAGCTTCTTCCAAACACAGAGGAAATTTTAATTCTTCTAAGAGGCCTTTTCAACACCATGTTATATTCATGGCTCAAAAATACCAGTACAAAACCCAGAATATCAGAGTCTGATAGCAAGTCTCCTGAAACACGCAGGAGCACATTCATCACATGCAACCTTAGTACTCCTGTACAAGTCTACTTCTCTACTTGCAGTAGTGATCTAAAAAACAACAAAATAATTCTCAATCTCAGCTAGATCTCAATTCACTCTCAAGATTTGCTTCAGGTCTTACACCATTAATTTTGACATCTGGAAAAAACAAGAAGCATTCAGTATAAGTTTAAAATGGGTATAAATTTTGCCTGTGGCTTGTCAATAAAATTTTTGTTTCAATATTACCAAGAGCTATGGCAAAATTAATGACATGGGACACCCTAGAAGCACGTTAAGTTAATTTCCAGACAACTTTAAAAAAAAAAAAAAAGTTTAAGACAGCAGAATGCAAAGTCATCCAGCTGCTGAGAATGCTATCAACATGCTGAGTCTTTTTTATTATTATTACATGTGATAAATTTGAACTAAATAGTTTTTGATATATTTTAGGACAAGTGAGAGTCAAAGTAAACCAGTCACCCAAGCTTATGCTTGGTCTAGCCACATAGGATAACCAGAGGACAGTGATTAATCATCAAAAAATTACAAAGCAATCACAATGCCAAGTCAAAGGTAAAATCAATTACAGCGACAATTAAAGCAGTCAGATAACAGATTTGAAATCCTTGCAGTTAATAGATGTTTTAACACAAAGTAGCAGAGACTATAGGCTTCAGAACATTCCCCAGAAATAATAAAGAGGTTAGTTGTTAGTAATTATTTGTATAACTAGCTAAAAACAAAACTATGCATAGAAATTAACCTAATGAATAGACCTCCTCCCTGGCAAAAATAATCATTAATCAAAGCAATGATAATATTTAATATGACAAAGCTTCTAATAATCCCAGTTACTTTGGGATGTAATTACTGCACTGAGAGAAAGAGAACACATGAAATCAGCAACCTCATTTTCTTTAAAGTGAGTGATAAAAGGCAAAGTGTTGATTTCATAGCGTCCAGGTTCAAAAAGACTCAAAATTATGTCTTCTACTCACGTTCCACAAAAGACGCAGTCTAACAAGACATTCCCAGTCCACAGTTCTGTGCAGTTAAATTGTGTCCTTCTGTTAACTTACTACACTATGTCTGTATTTAACTGGGGCTGAAGATGTTTAAGAAAACTGAGTTCAAATCTGAATTCCAGGTACAAAGAAAAACAAAACTCACTAGGGGGAAAGAAAATTCTATCCTGTAAAGTGACCTGAAAGTCTAGCAGAATTAAGAGAATTCATATATCCGTCTCACAGATGAGGTTCAAACTGATACAAATACGCAGTATCTGACCTGAAGATAAGTTGTCATCTATCTGTCTCCTTGAGTATATACAAGCAGATACTTTCAGAGAGATCATGCAGACAGTAGTAGAAACACTACTGGTAGACCTGGATTCTTGAATGTGGTTCCTTAAGTGAGAGTGTTACCTCAGGCACCTTGATTACAAGCAGGATCTGCATTTCTGAAAAACAACAGCCCCTTAGTCAGTCTGCGTTTACATTGCTTCCAAGAGGCAGCCATAGAGAATGTCCTTCTGGCTCACCTCATCAAGGATCTTTGGCATATGGCCCATAGTTAACATCATTGGAAAAGTGCTTCCTGCTCTATGAAAGAGAAATCTGTGCACAAGATCAAGTTCATTTTCAAATATAGTACAAACAAATGTAAAAATAATAGAAGACTTTAAATACAGAATATAGTTTCATTCATGTTTTATCTGAATTTCTCTAAAATATGGATCAAAATTACTAGGGTTGCAGATTTGAAAATGTGCTGTAGTTACGCCATATTTTGAATTCTCCACTAGACAGAATCAATTCATACCAGACAACAGATGGCCAATGCATTCAAGCAGAAGGAATTAATACACAAATTCACCTTCCTTGTCTATTCAAAATAACTCTGATTTTGTCTTCTGTCCTTTAAAAAGTTATTAAAAATAAAGATCAATATTAAAGATGCATTTGAAAGGAGTGCCAATAATAAAAGTAGAAAAAAATCTAGCAGAGAAAATGTGAGTATGAGAATGCATGGAAACATGCTCTCATGTTCATATTTTCTGATGTAGAGTCAGCACAAGTAGATCCCTGCCTTCCAAACTGGTTTGTGGTTTTTTTTCCATAAAGTAATTATGAAATGACATCCATTTATCACTATGAAAATGGATGCGTTCAGTAACTGAATTCAACATACAGAATAACTAATGACATACATAAGCATCCTTTAAAAGCAAAATGGGCTAAAGCCTAGCTCATCTTTGCTGACAAGTTTCAGTGTAGGCCAAAGCTTACATGGTCATTATTCATTTTTTAACAGAAAACTTTCTCAAGTACACGTTCATTTCACTCATATCTGGAATTTCAATTTAACAGGCTAAAGAAAGCAGTAGCAGTAAATTAGTTTTGTAATTTCTTTTAAAACTTTATCCATGAAATGGCTTTTCATTGTTTTATTTTTCTAACAAAAAAAATGGATCAATGATGAACACTATTAACTGTCTTAGGCTGTAGGCACTCTGGTGATATATTTTTCTCTAGATATAGATATTATATGTTTTTAATCAGTTGATTTCAATAAACATTTCAAAACTTGGACAAAAAACATTACTTTTATGATTCAATCATGGAAAGTATTTACTGAGACACCATAGAAAATTATAAAACTTACAAGTTAACATTAAAACCTTGAACTTCTGCAACTCATATCTAAATGTTAAGCAAATCATTTATTAATAGCTAGTCAAAATTAGCAGCATTTATAGTGTTTTAATCTATTTTTTCAAACAGATAAGTCCATCTTCTTCAAGTTGTGGAGTAACATTCATTCCTACATGGATACCAAGTGTTCAAACGGCCACACAGGACACTGCATCCAGTTCAATAAACTGTAAAGGACAAGGACTTGGTCCGGCTCTACAACGTTGAAGTGTCCTCGTCCTTCCTTTTCTATGCCTACACACATCTGTGTAGGTGGATGTTCTGCTTGTCCTCTTGAATATTTAGGACAGACAGATCTCCCTTGCATGCAAAGGCCTAGCATGCCAACATCTAGGCCACCAATTATCCCTCTCTGTTTTAGATTTGTATTACATTTTCATTTTTCTGTAATTTACTTCAGTAGTTAGCTTATTCAAAATTTCTTCTCTGCACACTGATCAGTAGCCTCCAATAACATTTTGTGTATTTAAGCCATGAGAGTAAAACAATCTGCTTAAAATAGCAGTATCACACATATTTGAAAAATAAAGACAATAATACATAGAAAATTTGAATTTGGTTTCTTTTGTTTGTCACTAACACAATGTGTGTCCTTGAGCTTTACATATTTCTACATCCCATTAGCAAAATGGTAAAAATAATAAATATATTCAGTTCACACATTGATATATTCCATGTTACATACAGTCTTCTTTTTCAGCATTTCACAGCCCTTATTACAGTCCTGTCATTCAACTTCCTGTTTTAAAGCTAGGTTGTGTTAAACATCAAATGGCAAATTAAAACAAGGCTACTCTCAGAATGGAAAAACATCAATCTTTTGGGTGAGACAAATCAAAATACAGAATTTCCCTTCTGCTTACTGGACTTCTGCAGGATGAGCTTTCTGGTACATTTTGGCATTTTCCCAAGTCACAACAAATGATAATGAGATCTGGATAAGCAACCACAATGCTCTGATCCCAGTGACTTCCCAAGACAAGCACATCTCTGGGGGCGTACTTCACAGTACAGGGAAGTTTCCTCCTCTGCTGTGGAGAACATGCTTCCCCAATTATCCATCACACCTGCATCGCCAAAGATGTCCTCCAGCAGTGCATGTTCAGACTCCTGACTGACTGTGTTTGGTCCAAGCAGTAGGCAACAACCAAAATAGCTGGCCATTCTTTTCCCCTACAAAATACTAGGACCTTAAATTACGCACAAGAAAGACGGGAATAAATATACTTCTGTGCTTTGGGGTCTTCCCACCCCAAAGTCTTCTGAAGTATAGGGAACTGCTAAATCTGCAGCGCTTCTTTACTTTTCTATATGCCTGTCCACCACCACCTTTGTCCTTGTGCTGCAGGCTCTGTAGTTCTAAAACTAATTTGCTTGTTTTAGTCTTGCACCTTCATTACTTTAAAAATGGAAGCTTTTTGAATCACTTATTTCTCAGCAGAGCCATGTAAGTCCTATGACAATCCCCCAGAGTCTGGCTTGCCAAATAAAAATAAATTGTGCTGCCATAAATGTTATGAAAAACCCACTACCCAGCAGAATATCTTCTCGTTATAATGAAAAATATCAGTTGCATTATGGCTTGGATTTTTTTCCTGTCTGAATGACAAAGGCTTAGCGGACTGATTGCTTTCTATACTGCAAGAAGGTCACTCTATCCACTGAAAGTTGTGAGGATTGGACAGACTAGGGCTACACGGGATTTTGTTTAACTGGAAATATTAAATACATAATGACCCAGAAACAGTCTCATAACTTCTACAGCAACTACAAAGGAGCAAACATGAAATTCTTGGGTAAATTCTAAGGAATTGTGTGATGATGCTGCAGACATCACAGAGAAAGCAGCAGAGAAAAAAATATATTAAGTTTACTGTACTGTGGAGAATATGTCAGT